CCACAGTCCCTGGACTGTTCACATCGAACGGTTTTGAACTGAAGCAGCCATTGCTGTGACATCATCAGCACAGCTGGCATTGTCACAGTGGTGTCCCCTATTGGGCCCAGATGATTTTGTCAACAGAGCTTAAACTGTGGTGCTGCCTTTGTGTCACTCAGGAGCCCAGACCTGAAAAGTACCAAGGATGACAGCCAGGGAGTGTGAGCTCAAGGTAGGCAGGAGAGTAGAATCTATCGACAGGGCACAGGGGAGCAATTACGAAGGAAGCTCAAGGGCTTGCTCAGAGGAACCTTGTGCTTGTTTAAGACTATTAAAAATACAGTGCGTACTACTGTTGAAGGCTAAGACTCTATTCTTTATAACCAGTCTTGAAAGTAAGCGTAAGATCTACTGGTGGCAGATTTATCACACCAACTGTTAATGTCAAACTTTTACACTTGGCTTTCCCTCTCAGCAGAATCTTGTCAGCACTCTTAGGTTAATCTGTGAACCAATGATGTAGTGACATGATTAACAAATCCACTTTTTGCCAGCCTTTTTCAATCTGCAGCATTTGTATTTTTAAGCCTATTAAAATCACGGAGAAATAAATTCAATAGCTACCATTGACACTGGGCACATCACTCCCCATAAAATACCTGCAAATGATCAAGGCAGGCAGATAATGGCTTGGCAGGCGCCTCAGCTTGCTGCCCTGTGACAGACATTTCCAATTAAAAAGGGTAAATAACTTGAGATTCATCTATTTCAACCCTGTCCAGAGATTTATCCACCCATCGTCTCCTTAAATCTGTTCATCCCTAATATGGCAATATCACAAGCCTGTACATCCTAGAAAAAGAAAAATGACACACACTGCAATTCCGATGTCCTTGTATTACATTTTAAATCTCCTTACCCTGACTGAGTATTCATGAGGTACCAAAATATTGGAGATTGTTAGTGATGCTATTACACCAACATTATTAGAAGAGTTGCTGAAGTGTTGAATTTGGATAAACAGAAAAAAGAAAAGAAAAAAAAACTGTTTTGATTGTACTTTACTCAGTTAAATTTGTCCACAGATGCAGGATCTAGTAAACATTGTAAGGCCTCTGACTCTACTGTTTGCTTAACCCAGACAAATGGTCAAATCTAACATTTAATTATTCACGTAAACCTTTATTTAACAGGCTGAAACATACCGGTGCAAAAGCCAGTGAGATAATTGAAAAGGTTGGTAAAACGCAGAAACCAACCAACTGTCTTGTTACAGGGCAAACATAGTCACATGAGCAGGGTACCACTTTAGGAAATCTAAATAAATGAGCCCTAATGCAGTTAAATGGTTTATGTTTATCACTAGAGAGTTACTGTATATTGGACCTCAAAGCTTTGTTTATGTTAAACTCATAAGGAGGCCTTTGTCCTTCCCTCATGTTTCATTACGCGTCAGTGGATGTATACCTCAAAGACTACCACTGGAAAATCGTGGGGGCGGAGGAGCACAGTATAGTTTAGTATCTCACAACAAGAACAGCAAGAAGAAAGCAACAACAGAACAACGGATAATTTTACTGTAACGAGAAACTGACTTCAGAAAGGAAATGATTCTGAACCCTCCACTGTCCACTGTGGATGTATTGCTATGCAAAATGCAAAACATGCATGGGTGTATGTGGGCAGTCACATTTGAATGACTGAGATTTTAGGTACTAATCTAATCTACTACTTCATTCATTTTAAAATAAAACACACTCAGATCTTTACCGTTTCTAGGTACTCAAAAGCTGGCCACAACCACAACCCAATTTTGGTACAGCTGGTTGCTCTGACTGGATCTGTTGGTGTGATAAATGGGCTGCCTTTGGCCAAACACAAGCCCATGTGCTAATAACTATATGCCAAGCTCACACTCTCACATGCCTTCACCCCAAACATCTCACCATTTCAGGGATTGAATTTCACAATATTATTCATTATTCAGCTTCTCTAAGCCTGACTTGATTGGCTCAAGTGGCTACGTCTTTTGGGTTAACATCAGTAACATTTACAGAGGCTCATCGTGATATTAGGGAACATCTTTGGAGAAACGTGTCTCTTTTTGTAAATACAGTGACATAATTCATTAAGGTGATAAATGGCTGTGCAATTTCCTGGGACATGGGCATCACTTTTCATCCAACCACATTTTAGCTGTCCTGCCTTTAGGCCTTTCCGGGTGAAAGCCAAACATTTAAATACGTGTCTCCAAGTGCTGAGGCAAGCAAGTCCTCTTTCCAAATAGATCCTCTTTTCAGCAGTTGAAGCTCCAAGGACCCATTTTTTACTGTTATCATCAAACCATTAAAATCACCCCATTCTCAGCCACTTGGTGTTATGTGCCAAGATAGATTGACCAGATAAAAAAAAAAAGTTTGGGCAAAGTTATGGACTGACAACAAAAAAAAGGGTCATTGTTGGCCATGAAAGCTTAATAGGTCACATAATTAGACAGAAAATACAAAATCAAATCTGACAGCTCACTCTGTCGTGAATTCCATCTTGTCAGCCACCAATGCAAATCACTAGGTGCAATTTTAGTTCATAAAGGAGGGAATCAATACAATATGATTTAGCTAATGTGTCACTGTCAAAGCACAGGACTTGAGATCATTCTGCCGTATTAAAAATTTTAATTGCATCTTCCGCGGCGTCTGAAAACCACTGATAGCATCACACCTTGAACTCACATTAACACACATTCAGGAGTATGAGGGAAATTAAACCTTTCAGGCAGATTTTAAATAGTTCTGACACGTCTGCGGATTTTGTACATGCCTTTCTGATGGGGGAAATAAAGAAGCAATGAAATGTAAGTAAGAATGACTGAGAGGTAAAATACCATGAACACATTTCACATGTTGAGTAATTGGTTTCAATGCAATACATACAGTATGTGCTTAAAGTATAGTCTTTAAATGATAACTTTTGCAGTATTCTGTTTATTTTACTTTCAGAACCAATAAGTGTCACTTTAGAGTTTTAAGAAGGGGTCGATATTTATTATTGTTATTTCAAATGAAAAATCTTCCTAAAAGTCTGTTGAGGTTAGTGGGAGAATGAGGGCAAATACATTTTGTTTTATTTTAACTTGATTTTATGAAATAGGAATAGAACATTTGTATGAATTTGGTTTTAAGTTAAGTTGTGAAGCAATAACTGTGAACATGTCAGCATGGGGAGGAGGGCGGTCCTATTGGTCCTATCTACAAGTGATGCACTGACAAACAAAAAGAACCTGTGAGTTAATGGAAATTACTTTTGCATTTTGCTTTTTTAAAAAAGCATGCTGCACATATATTCAAGATGTTTGAATCACATACTGAGTATTTGTAGGCCTTCGTGTTTGAGCTTATCTTAGCAGCGGGGGGCACTGGGTGAGTTCACAACTGCAGTGTGATTTGAGAATCACTCATACATAATGCACTGAGGGCTTTCAGATACATGAAAAGAGAACCCACAGTATATTCCTGTTTGCCTTGTTGATATTCTGGACCTGAATCTACTGCACTCAGCATCTAAATCAATCACCTAAATACACACAGAGGGATATTTCTGTTCTTCAGTTTTAAATGGCTGTTGGCCTGGCGTGTGTGTGTGTGTGTTTAGGTGTGCCAGCCTTTGTATTTGCATGATCATTAAGATATTGATCATTCTAATTTAAGGAGCAGTGATTTGATGGGCTGTCAGAGCTTTAAAACTCTGCCTATAAACACAGATTGACAAAAAGATTATGTGATCCTCCTGCACCTATTAATAAAGAATGTGCAGTACAGTGCACGCTGCCTATTAATCAGCAACTCGGGTAAAACAATGTTGGCTTCTCAGTTTACACATTGCTCAGATTCTCAGTGCTGTGAGTCACGCAGTCAAAAGTCTGTGAAATATTATTTCTGTATCGGTGAAAACAAATGCCTCTTTGTAAGCACGGGTGTATTTTCTTCATAATATATCTGTCTGTGTTTGCACATACCCCCGAGCTGTGGGTGTGTGTGCGAGCATCATCCGACTGCCAGTTGTTTTTGGCAAGCACCCTCCTCACCCGTGCACACGACATGAATAGCTGAGAGGGCGAATGTGTCCCACCTCAGGATGGGTCAGACGATGAGTGGGTCCAGATTTTCTTTGGAAGTGTACGGGACTAAATCACACAGAGAATTTCAACAGTGTGGCTTATGAAGCGTTTCGCCTCGAGGCTCTGATTTCCATGGTCTCTGGTGTTTTAACAATGAGGCTGCACTTGACAGTCCAACCAAGAAGAAGCGCTTGAGTGGCCCTTGAGTTCAGATATATATATATATATATTAGTTAAAAGCTATACATCAGACCTATCTGGAATTTAAATGTGTGGAAAAGTATTTAAATGTGATGCAACTTTCATTGGTATTGTGTACAGAACATCTGTTGTATTCTCTTACCTACAATGTTTTTAAAAATTCTCATTTGAAATATTGTTCAAAACACAAACACAGATATCACAGTTACTAATTTTAGCCTTTAGAGAAATGTTTTTTATTTATTTTATTTCATTTCAATCAATTCATTTTATTTACTAGTTATAATAATAATAATACTAATTTTATTTTTCATTCCAATTATATTTTATTGACAGTACTGCATTATCAAAGTACCAACATGTCTATACATTTAATAGACACATTTAATGAGGTACGTTTAGGTACTGCACTGACCTTTGAGCAACTGCAGATTAATTCATAAACAGGTGGTTTCAAACGTATTTGAATTCTTTTTAGTTGTCAGTGACTGTGTTTGTACAGACTCTCCACAGCACCTAAGCAATCTGGGCCACTGTTTCCCAACTAACTTTGTCAATTTTCCAGTGGGAGACCCAAGTCCTTGTTTCATTAGGGGAGTTCCTCATTGATCAATCACTGTCAGGGGAGCTGCTCTGTAATTGCAACATGGCCTAATCATGATTGACATCTCATCTCTCTCCCTCCCCCACTCTGTCACAGGTCTCAGGGGAGAGAATGTTCCTTGACTTTCACACCTTCGACCTCAAGGTAGGTTAATGTTTGTTTTTTGTTTTTTTTTTGTCAGTCTTTATCCGTGCACTTTATGGCCTATAATTGATATATTAAACTGATATTTAATCCCTGTAGAGGTGATAAGATAAAACACTTTAAGATGATCATTTTTGCACTTCCTGTAGCTTAAATACTTTAACTTTAATAAAAACTCATTTTGATGAATTGTTAAATAACATTTGCCAAAGAACTATACAACACTGACTTAGGGGATACAAAGCTTTATAAATTGCACTCTTTATCCCAGCAACCCATAGGCATGAGCATTTTGTTAAGAGTACACTAAGATGAATTTCCAGTTGTACAACAACACTCTCCCAGCATTCATCATTTCTGCCACATTCACAATAGGAACTGAGTGATATTTAGGGTAGGATAGAACTCTTTTAAATTTACAACAGTGTGAATAAAACAAGATAAAAGTAATGAAAACAGGAAGCTAACAGCCCCCGTCTTCACTGTGGAATATGCATCAGTTCTTTTGCAAAATGATGCACAGTGTATAAAAAGATGTTTTGTTTCCTCAATCACAAAAATAAGTGACGCGATCTGTTCTGATGGTTAGATCAAACAGTGGTTTCCCCCTTTGGTGTAAATGTAGTTTATTAGCTTACAGCACGACTTTATGATTTATAGCTGACCCGACCCACTGTGGTCCACTACGACTCGTATATAAATTTGAATTTATATTCATGTATAGTTCACGGTGAAGTGAAGTCCTGTATCTCCGTGATGTGAGTCTGTTATTAATGCACTTGTCAAGCTGCTCATGTTTACTCACCGCTGATGAGATGCTGAGTTGTATTGGATCATCTTTCCTCATCACAGCCAAGCATCATGAGCTGTTGTCCTCATCTCAAAAGGTCATGTTTTACAGTTGGCTGAGTACAAGCTGGTTTTGTCTAGAAGTGACAAAAATGAACAAACGAGCACTCGATGTGATTAGGCTTGCAGCATTACGTTTTAACATCGCCAATAATTCACAATGATCGGTGATTTTCATGAAGATGCACAAAAAATAGAATTTAACTAGTGATTATATGAATTTAATGTAATGCATTTCATATGTTATGTAGAATAATCAGAAGAATAAGCATTGTTTTTCAAATTCAAAAATTATGTCATGACTATAAAAATGATGTATTGTGCACTTTTATTTTAGCTGTACTGCTATACAAACCAAAGTACAATAAACCTCTGCTGTGATCAACTGTATGTATAGTATTAAAATGATAATTCAGACCTGTGGCTCGCCAGTGTTACAGAGATTTGGCTGCAATATTTACAAATATCTAAGTTGCCTGGAATTTATTAGATAATTAAAATGGCTGTGTGAGAGTTCAGTACTTCTGCCCGGTTCATGTTAGAGTTTCAGCTGAGTTGGGCCGCCCCCAAATGCTCTCATTGGTTGAGTAGCATGATGATACCTTTCACAAGTTTTTTTAAACCACGTGATCCATGTTTTCTGTTGTTAATTGTTAAAAAAACCAGTGAACAACAGATATCTAGTTACTCATACAACTACTGCTACTAATATTACTACTACTTATACTACTACTACGGCTACTACTACTACAAAAACAACAACAAAATAATTATTGTCACATTGGCCTGCCTTAACTTAAAAACATTTAAATGTTAAAACAATGCAATAGTCAAATGTAAGGAGCCTAATATCATGTCACACTAAGGTAGAAATCTTTAGAGATGAAATCTGAAACAAAGACAGCATGATGTAATCCGTGATAAACCATGATATTAAACCACAGTCTTTCAAGCGTTCCAAAAACGTTGTGATTTTGTAAAATGATTTGCATATCTCATCTCTGCTTTTTTTGCCACAAATTTCACATTAATTTCCCACCTGCAAGAAGTATATGAATTATGCCTTTTAGTCTTTCTTGTTTCCTTTTTTCTCCATGTTTTTCATCATTTTCATTTTTGTCATGCACTTAGCAGCTCATGTAGGGTTTAACACCAATGTACCATATGTAGGACATGACACAATCTGTCATCTCTGGGAGAGGCCATGCATGGACACAATTGGAAATATACCCTCCCGTTATGCTAATACTTGATTCAGCCCCGTATTTCATGCAAATGCCTTTCATCTTATATTTTGAAATGTCAGTGATATGACAGCTGTAGCAAAGGCATCCATAATATGTTGACTGGTGTGGGTGTGTATGTGGGGGGCGCTCTCGGTCTATGCAAAAAAAAAAAAAAAAAAATTCAACATAGGGAGGCTGAAGATAATTAATTAATGTGCTTTTTGTTTAATAAACATTAATAGAATAACAATAATAAATGATCTTCACCTCACAATTGTGCAATAATTGTCAATTGTAATTGCTGTGTTCCATCTAAAGTTAAAGCCAGGTATTTTTAACATTCCTCTGAGATTTTTTAGGAACCTTAATATTGACTAAAGTTGGAGTTGTGTTTGTCTCTAAAAAGGGTTTACCACCACCTTTAAGGAAGGAGAGTTTTAAATTTAAAATGCAATCAGCACAATCACCACAAGCAATCAGTTCCTCTCCATTTCACCTGATCGAGCCCCCAACAAAAACGAGCTGGCTAAATGGAACATCTTATCAGGGCCGGGATTAAGCCTTAACTTTGATTAACATCTGTAGTTGGAGTTTAGAATGTCAAAGTTCAGGTAAAAAACACAGATTTGTAAAGAAACAGGTGTGATTGTGTAGCTAGAAATCCACATTTACAATCTGTAGGTTTATGTTCAGAAATCTCGAGAGAAAAGTGTCTAGGGATTTTCAACGTGTCACAGCAGTCTGGCAGTAAAATGATTCTTTTCTTGTAGTGCAGATCAACAGCGATTCTGTCATTTCTGACCACTGAATCATTCTTGTTTTTTTTGTGCACCATTTAACTGAACACGAATTCAATTATGTAGTTTCTATTCTTTGTTGGAGCTTTGTACTAATTACAAGAAGTGCTACTTTTTGTCCTTGCCTAATTGTTTTTACGTACAGGAGTGCTAATACAAAGTGTGGCAAAGAAATGATTAACTTCAAGAAAACTTCAGTTCACTCCTCAGACAAAAGTACTGTGTTGGCAGTTTGTCATTTCGTCAAAGGTCTTTCAAAATTCACACACACAAAAAAATGAACGCTGACTGCACAACAATGAACGTTTCTGAAAATCCAATGTGTCTACAGCTGAGCTCATTTGAGGCCAGGGCAGAGCAGGCACACAGAGGCCTTGCACAGACACAATAAACTGTTGCCCTGTTCACAGAGGCGTGGAGAGGTGACAACACCGACTACATCCTCAGACACATCTGTGCCCATGTCCCTAAAATGATATTTCTCTTGCACTGGAAACAGGTCAGCCATGAACTCCTGACTCTTTCCACCTCCTTTAACACACAAGCAACTGGAATGGTTGTTGTTTTACCCATTTGAAGATGGTGTATGTTGTTTTGCTGTGATTGTAAAAAACAAAACAAAAAAGTTATGGACAAGTTTGATTTTATTTTCCCTCAAAAGTTAAAATTCCAAAAGCAGCTCAGTGACAGATTGTTAAGGCGTCATTATGCCAACTTGGCCCACATCTAAATACTGCCAACTCGGCCCCTCGTTTAGACACTGAATCATTTAGATTGCACCGCTGTGATTGCTTAATTAAATGCCCGGCTGTGTAATGACTTTGCTTGAAAGGGAATTAAATGTCTAAATGGTGTAGAATCCATGTTGAGCTGCACAGAAATCAATGGGACATAGTGCTGGAACCCAAGGTGTTTCCCAACTTGTTTAAGGTGAATGTTTTGTATTGATGCTGTCCCTCAGTCAGAGAGTCAGGAGCTCATTCCTCATAGTCCACGGCATTGATTGTTGGCATACAAATACTGTGCTTACTTTGAGCTTTCAGGAGAGCAGACCGAGGGCAGCTGTACTGTCGTACTGTCGCTGTCTCTCAGTATATACTGAGAGAACGAGTTAATCTGTGTAAACCTACATCAATGCCTACTGCAATCACAAAAAAAGTTTGTACGCTGTAAAAAAAAGCCCTAAATATAAAACTGTTTTGGTTCAATGATCATTATTAATTAACTATTGTAGTTTTCAAAGTTGATTTCTCTGTCAGCCAATATATAATATATATATTATAAAGAAACCATAAAAAATAGAATGAGACTATATTGTTTATATCCATATAATCCCTGTGTAATGTGGAATATGTAGCTTTGCTATGGGAGATTATATAGAAGAGTTAGCAAAAAACCTTTTCTCATGTTATAAATCTCAATACTTGATTTGTTTTAGTTACAATATTTAATTTTTTTTCTTTACACATTTGTATTATCTTTCATGTGAAACACTAAACATTGAAAATCACATTTTGTTATATTACATTACGTAGGTCAAAATTGAAGCAATTTTAGACTAAAAAGATACAATAAGTGACAAACAAATCAAGATTAATAATTGTCAGCTTATACGACTACATTTCTTGCTTTTGGTGAATGCTCCATTTACACCCCCGCTTTGCCAATGAAACCTGCAATGAATTAAATATTTTCTGAATCATCATTGAGTTTAAAGTTTATTTCCAAATGTCTGATGTGAATTGCAGGTCTTACTAACACAGTTGAAACTGTCGGTGAAAAGTTTCATTTCCTTCTCTTTTAAGTTTTACTGTAATTGCATTTTTAAGAGTTCTACCAACATTTTTGGAATTGCTGTTAGTATTGAATTTGATAATTAAATGCCAGGGAAACACAGCTGCCGTGTTTTCTCTATAAAGTTAATAATTCCATCATTTGACTGTAAAAACCTCTAGGGCAATATTGAAGCCAACTGCAAACAAAAAGACTCCTTTCAGAGAAATGTTTCCGACTAATCTCACACACATTTAATTAAACCAAAGACCTCCCCAAATCGCTAAAGCTGGGATGGATGTTTGGCTCTGAAAATGACAACAGGATATCAAACTGCCTCTGGCCTGAGACACTGTAATCCCCCCATGTTTACTCCGAAACATGAATGTCTGATTTGGATCACTCAAACAATGTCGGCATGTCTGCGTTTGTAAACCTGCAGCATTTAAGTCACAAAATTAAGTTGACCCTGTCAGAGAGCTTAAGGACATGTATATCAGAGCGCACGCCTGTTATACCTTCATCTGCTTTGGTCCCGGCTCTCACTGTATAATAAGTTTCCACTTTAGCAAGTCCAGTGGGTCTAATAAGGGTTTTATCTGTCTCCGATTTTTGATAATAATACCTCCTCAAATGCGAGCCAATGGCTCGCTCTCGTCTTTCCTGAACATTTACATTAGCCTAACAATGTCTCCAAAAGAAATCTTATCAAATTCAAATTAAAGGCAAAGGCAAACTGAATAGCCAGAAGGATACCATTACCTGTCACTCAAGGAACGTGTAATTTGGTTCAGCTGCAGAGAACACAGATCTACTTATTAAACCACTGACGTCATCGTCTCCATGCACACAAATTAGTGCTTTCATAATCCTGCGACAAAAATGAGCAAATTTGCAGCATAGGATTTCTTTTTATTTGCAGAACGCTGCAGGATGTGAAACTAAATCTAAGTGACACGATTTAGGATTTGCTTTTTCTTGCCTCCATGTAATCTTTACCAGGGGTTGTAACGTTTTTACACCGGATCCAGTCGGTACATACAAATCACTCTACTTAAATCATCTATATCTAAAAATTCATTAGTCGGTGGTAAAATAAAGAATGTGAAATTAACATTAATTCAATTGTGAAAAATAATCATTAAAATTTTAACACATTTTAATGCATAGGCAGAATGACAGGCACTTGCGTCCAATAAAGTCACCGTTTACTCATCGTTGCTCTGGTACACTGTAAATTTACATTTTGAAATTTGCACTCACTATAGAAGATTTTTTGTTTCAAGCAACACCTCTAAATTGCAATAATACTTCAACACTCAGCATGTATTTGTAGAGGTTTCAACTTCAGGTCAGATGCACAGCTTGTGTGCAACTGCTCCCTGATCAAACTGAAAAGTCAAATGAGAAAAAAAAAAAAGTGGAAAAGTTTTTTTATGAAGACTCCTAATCCAAAGCCACACATGTAGCTTGTGTTTAGTTATCTTGTTTTCGTGTTAGGCTTTCTTTTGCGGAAAAATCTCAAGGTAACTCTGGTATCTAAAGCAAAAGTGCAAAGGTTTCACAATTCTTATCATCCCTTGTGGCATCCATTGTCAGGTTGTATAAGGAGTGGGAAAATAAATATTAAATGGAAAATATAGCTCAGGGAGATAGAAAATAAATTACTTCAGTGTGGCAAGGAGGGGGAGATTGTGAGATTTATCAAGTGGAGATGGAAATGTCTGCTAAGTCTGAAAAATTAAAGAGAAATCAAATGCCTTCAGAGAACACAGAAAGTGACATGCAAATGTGTGTACTGCACACGAGCGCCCGCACCCTCGTCTCTGCATGCTTGTGTTGTTAACTATTGTTGAAGATGTTGCTGCCTTGACATGTCTTGACACGTGTCTTCCTATGAGGATTTTACTGAAGCAAAGATAAGGGTCTTGATGCATGTTTCAATTCCTTCCCAGGTCAACCAAACCAGTGTCAACCTGGGCCAGTTAGACTGAACTGAATCAGCCCCAGTCTTATAACCAGGTTCCATCTCGAGCTGATTGGTTTTAAGTCCTCAGTCTTTTAATACCACACAGATTTTCTGTGACACAACTTGATTGGCAAAATCCATAATGGTACAGATAAGCGAACATGTTGGCTAGATAAAGGTTAAACTATCATGGATATGTTGGCCATCTGTCTAAAGCCAATTTTACACATTCAGCTCCAGTAATAGTGGGTGAGTAAGGGGGGAAAAAAACCAGGCAAGTCAATATTGATTGATCTGGAGTCTTAGCAATTACCTCCATGTGCAGAAGACCATGTTAAGGTCAGTATTATCTTAGCTCATTTTATGGGTCAGCGCCCCGGCTTGGGCTGAAATAAATTAATGGGGTAAACACTTTAGCTCACCTTGATGAAATTTACAGCAAGCGTAAAAAACTTGCACAGATGGAAGGTGCTGTGCCAGAGAGTGACCCTTGATATTTTTCCTCTTCAGAATTACTCCTGAACTGAGGTGGTAAATAACAAAGGAAATGTCACAAAAGCCTCTGATTTAAAAGTAACAAGTATTGACCCGCTGTAATCAATTAATCTAAATAATTAGTTAAATACAAAGGCCTTGTTGCTGACTTAATCTGGATTATTTAGCTATTTTAAAGAGTGCATTTATCATTAGACCAACCAAAAATACAGTAGTACAGCTTCTATGACAGCTTCTATGTTACTCATGACACTGCATCGGCATTTTTTTTTGTAGCCTTCAGGCTGATGTGCAGATGTTCTGATGTGCTCTTATGCTCTTAATCCCAAAATAAATTGACTTTCCAATGCAGTGATCTCTTTAATGAAAAGTCAATGTTTCTCACTCATTGGCAAGCTCCGGCGGGAACCATCAGTAAGATGAATTTATCAGCAGGCCCGAGACTGCGCCCAAGGGGACACCACCCCTTTATGATCAAACAGAATGCTACAGAGTGTGTCCAACCAGTCCTCTATTATTACCCAGCTTGTGCTCTTAATGTGAGCTGACGGGGGGAGGTGGAGGAGGGGGTGACAGTATTGATCTAATGAAAGTGCTATTTATATTCTCACAAATCCTCGCAGCAGTGATTACTAATGTACTCGACTACCACGACGTCATGTCATGTTCTCAAATGTTTTAATGTGTCGACAGTTTGGTGGCTTCTAATTTTGCAGTGATTCCTATACAATTTTGACATCTTAATAACAAAGTGTGCTCCCATTTTACCGCAAATATCAGATAATTTTGCCATTTTGATTGTAAGAAAATGCTGGTGTTATTTGGTATTTTTAGTTGGACCACATCTGTGATCATTCCAGGAAATTTCCTTTTAGTTTTAATGCTGCCATGTTTTGTCAGCTGCCCTGATAAGGAAGTATGAAGATATTGCTACTGCATATGGTTAACTCTGCTGAAGATAAGCTTTAATCCCCTCACAAGCCCTAATGTAATGCATATCGAAAGTCATTTACAAAACGTGCACGTGTGTCGAGCAACAGTCATATTAAAAATACAGCCCGTAGTGTGAAATCATACACACATACATGCAAGTTGCTCACAATGTAGTTGTGTTTAATGCTCATTACATTCATTATTCCATAAGTGCAGCAGCTCTGGTGATGCTTCCACTTACATGACTCATATGTAGTTTAACATGCATGAACATGTTCTACCCCTGGCTATGAACTCATGAATAAAACACTGAAAACTAGATAATTATTGACGACATATTTAAATGTGGAGACTGGGTACGACTGCATGGCAATAGCAGTTCAGCATGAATTTGATGTTGAATGGCATACAAGATCAAACTTCCTAGGTTGGCACATTTATTCCTCTATCGTAGAGATATTTTGGACTATAGAACGTCTCACATCGAGCTAATGTAGCTACCAATGTGCAATATAAAAGCTCATGTAAGTAGATGTTTTAAGTCTGCAAACATGTACAATCTGAATATGTTTCAAGTCCTCACAAACCAACCCAAAAAAAAAAAACCATAGAGTTCAGTGAGAGCGGGCTGTAAATGATTGGATCCCTCTCAGAAGGAAGAATCTTGCTCATCTCAGTCTCGACTGCATGAGTCTCTCTTTAACATGGCTCTACTGCCCGTAAACAGGCACTGAGTGATTAGCACTGCTCTGCCATTGACATCATTTGCATTTTAATAGACTATAATTACAACTCAGGGAAAATAAATTGCAGTTTGAAGAATGTTTGGATTACGCCGACACACTGGCTATCCTGAGGAGACAGCAGTGAGGATTTTCTAAGACCTGCCTTGGTTGGTAATATCAGGGTTTGGACATTTACGGAGCAGCACTCCCTGCACTGTGAGGAAGACAATGTGGTCTATGCATAAATAGGGGAGTTTAAATAGAAAATCTGCCCTGCAAAA